GTCTTCAACAAACTTGCACAGCGGAGCTACGACACTACAATGAAAAAAGGCGTTACCTAGGGTCTCCACCTCTACACTGCAGCGAACGCAGTTTGGCGACTTTACCAAAACTTTCTTTGCGACTCCCTTGTGTCATGCTTTTGACTAGTTTTGTAATCAATGGAAGAGTCCATATTCAACACTTTAGTGTAGGGAAGGTTGGTCGTCTTTCTATATAACACCCCGCCTTTTTAAGATACGCATTTTCTTTTCGGAGTGGGGTTCATTTCCAACACTTCCATTGGATTTGTTATTTCTTTTACTTATATTGTGTTATCGGGTGGTTATAATTGGAGTTAGTAAGTCAAAAGTATCGTTCACAAACTTCCAAGGGTAAATCTCTTTGTTGAGTTTTTAGTTCCTTAGGCATATCTTGGTTTTAATTAGTTTACATTCCTTTTATGTCGCCAATTTCGACCTTGTTCTATATAAATCCTCCTACCAATACGATTTACTATTTCACCATCTTCCCAACTTTCCTTTCCTCCCTTGTAAATCTTGAAGAAAATCTTAAAGGAAACCATACTCCGGCATTAAAAACTATCTCTTGAGAAACAAAGTTTAAAATTACTTAATTCGTGTCAATTTTGCATCCCTATGAAGATGGAAAATTATAAATTACATTTTAGACATCTGATGATTCTTTTTTACCGTAAAGGCAAAAATGTCTCGCAAACAACGAAAAAGATATGTTCTGTATACAATGAAGTTTCGCGTTTGTTATTGTAGCCTTATTGATGAAGAACAATAATGCAAACCACCACGATAGATGACGATCACATCAAGACATTGATTGCGAATAACACGTATTACCCAACGAGGGAATTGGGAGAAACACCAAATCTATCAAAATTCATCATCCGTGAGAACTTAGCAAATCTTGGGGTTTGAAATCGCTACGATGTTCGGGTAGCACATGAAGAATTTTTTGGATCGCATTTCTTCTGTGATTTGCTGTGTAAACGCAATGAAAATGCAGCCTTTTTGAAGCAAATTGTGATGGGTGATGAGAAATGGATCGTTTTCAACAATGTTCAGTGAAAAATAATCCTGTGGTAAGTGACAGGAGTCATCCTTAGCCACCTCATTGCAGATCTTCCTCCTAAGAAAGTCATGCTGTGCATCTGTTGGGATTGCAAATGAATTCTGTACTATGAACTTCTGCCAAATAACGAGTCAATTTATTCCCAAAAATCCTACTCAAAACTGGATAAATTAAAGGCAGACATTCAAGAAAATGCCAAGAATTGGAGAAAAGGAAAGGTGTTGTTTTCCATTATGATAGTGTCAGACTGCTTTCTTTTTCTTTTTTTTTTTTTTTTGGCGGACCGACAAAAATTGTTACCCAAATGCCAAATTCACCAGATTTTGCTCCTTCGGATTTTCACTTATTCAGGTGCTTACAAAATACTCTCACTGGTAAAAATTTAAATTCTTTGGATGACATAAAAAAAACACCTTAATGATTTCTTCGCGAAGAAATAACCGACATTCTGCCAAGATGGAATCTTTAGGTTGAAGAAAAAATGGGGAAAGGTTGTGCAACAAAATAGTTCATAATTAGTTGAATAAGTATATAATGGAATAATTCTGTTTCGTTGTTTTAATTTCCCTTAAAAATCGGCATAAAACTCAATACATTAATTATATTCTTATATATATATATATATATATATATATATATATATATATATATATATATATATATATATATATAGAAAAATTTATTAATAAGTGTTTCATTCACCAGTTCGTGCCTGACGAATTGAACTCCATGAAAATTTAAGTTGCACTACAAACGTAGGTATATGTATATTTATTAATATATATTCTTAGCTTTGTCTAACTACACTGAGCACTGTTTTGCCTGCATCTTATATTAAGTTACGTAAATATTTATTCGTTTACCTGTGTATGCACGCTAAGGGACGCATATACAAGAATTTGGTTCATATCCACACTTATCTCTCTCTATATATATATCTATCTAAATAGAGAGAGCGAGTCAGAGAGAGAAAGAGAGACAGACAGACAGACAAAGACAGACAGACAAACAGAGATAGATAGATAGATAGATAGATAGATAGATAGATAGTATCAAATCCGTAAATGGAAAAGATAATGTTGTTGGTTCTTTTTTATATAAAATATGAAAAAGATCCGAAGAGAGCTCAATGTATAGACTATAGACAAATAAGATATACCTCAAGAAAAAGCTTAACGCACCACGAAAATACGGTAATAGATCATGATTTATTTCGACCAGTAAGTCTCATGAGACCGAAGATGTAAATGGTATAAATTTACAAACAATGGTTCAAATTATCCGGATAAAAAAAAAGGAATAAAGAAAGAAAGAATAATAACAGGAAGTCGCGTCGTCTGATCTAGAAAATCTATTTTCATGGTGTTAAAGCCATTGTCAGCCATTCATTAGTGAATTAATATATATATATATATATATATATATATATATATATATATATATATATATATATAAGATAGAGCGTTTTATAAAAAATTTATATATTTTTGAAAGATATTTTATATCATATATTCAATCATTTTATTTCTTCTATTTTCAGTCAGTCAATATATTGTCTATGATTTTCTCTTCTTCCTTTTATATACGTATATATGTTTATATATATATATATATATATATATATATATATATATATATAGATAGATAGATAGATAGATAGATAGATAATATCATCCATAAGCGGAAAGAATAATCCAAGTGGTTCTTTTTAATATAAAAAAATTAAAAAGATAGATCCGTACGGATCTCACTGTATAGACTGTAGAGCAATATGATATACCACAAGGAAAACCTTAACACATCAGCAAAATACGGTAATAGATCATGATTTATTTCGACCAGTATGTATCATTAGACCGAACGTGTGATATGTATAAATTTACAAAGAATGGTTCAAATTATTTAGACAAGTGCGCAGGTATGCAGAAAATAGAAAAGAACACGTTGGGTGCATAATCCGGAGTTCATTAGTATTTTTGTTTTTATTTTTAAGAAGAGAGTGCTCTATACAGAAGTAGAGCTTTATTATAATAATATTTCTGGTTTAAAAATATGATTCCTTCGCTACATAAGAGTTCTCATGTTTCAAAAACGAGAGCCGAAACCATCCAAATAATTATGAAACTGGACTAAACACCTCAATTCAACTTAATTTTAATAAATATTATATATAACGAATGTGTAACGAATGCACGTCCGCAATTCTTGACGGATTTGCACCAACATTTACATGCACATGCTCCAAATTAGTGGGAAGGCTAAGACCGACTTTGTATTTCCCAACTCCCATCGATAGTAGAAATAATCGAATTTTTCATGCTTCTACGGCAGTTTTCATGTAGTTTGCGGCCATTTTCTACTGGCCAGAGTGAGAGCCTATAGATGGCTGCCACGAATAGGCAGGAAGATTCTATTGGTCAGCGTGAGAGCCGACAGCTGACTGACATGAATGTCAACTAGCATGTTAGCATGCAAAAAAATCGATAGCTGCTTTCGTCACAAGTGGGAAAAATTTAAATCTGCATCGCACTTTACTCCAATTGGCTCATTCGCTTGCTTAAACTCAATGTTGATTCTGATTCCACAGAACTGGGTTGGGTGTGAAAAAGTATTTGTTGTTAACATTCTTTTTTCATTCGGTTTTTCCAGTTACGAGTCCTTTTTTAAAGCTGATCGTTTTGTGTTCATTTTGTTTAGTTCTTTTTTCGTAACAGATTTAATGTTTAGTATAGAGCTTAGAAAAAATTCGCAGTGTGAGATAGGCAAGAAGTAAGGCATGTAGCAACATCAGCATGGCAAAGGGAACTCCTTTAAAGGCAAGGAAGGGCAAAAATATTTTAAGTCAAGTGATAGCAATTGCTGTATGAGTCGTAAGATTTTTTAATCAAGCACGGGCAACGCCGGGCCATGCTGCTAGTATAAATTGTTACAGTTTTTTGTGTATATATATATGTGTGTGTGTAACTAGTGAGTTAGTCAAAATGACTTAATTCCTTTTATAGTCTACCAATAGAAGGTCAACCAATCAGAAGCCGCAGAACATTGTATCCGTCGTGTATAAAGGCGGCCATTTTTGTTTACCCAACCCGAATGACCAGAGCCAACTTGTCAGGCGAAGATGACAGAAGGAAGAACTACGCTCTGCTACTTTACTGCGATATCCACTGCTAACCTGAACTACGCTTTCCTACTGTCTCCGAAATATTCACTGCTCTGGATTGTATACTCGAAGACGACCGTCAAAATGTCTAACATATATATATATATATATTTCCTGTCGCGGTACAGGGAGCCAACTTTCCTTGCGGTGGACGAAGCTATTGACTCAATGTATTTGTTCCATCTCAGGTCAGCAGTCAACGTGAGACCGAGCAGACGCAGAGAGGTGCTCTCGAGAAGTTGAGCATCAGACATTCTAATGGAGAGCAGGGAAGGATCTCTGTGGTGATTAATAGAGAGCAGTTTTGTTTTTGAGGCATTAAATTTGGCCAGCCAATTCATCCCCCAGTTCACAACGATTGGAGGTCCTTTTCGAGACGCACGGCCAGGTTAGTTTTGTCACCGACACTCTGGCTTGGTTAATAGTTGCTATATAATTAATACTCTTTGTTGAATAATAAAAGAGAATCAGAAATTTGCTTACTCTTCTAAAACAAACGAATTTTCATGGCTTGGATCCTTGAAACCACCCGAGATTTCGAAATGCAACTTTAATCAGGGTAGCGTGAGCGCCACGATTGTTGAGCATCTTAACGACCTTATAACTGACGACAGGGAAAATTAATCGAGGCAAGGCGATAATTTAATATCGATTTGAATTCTTTTCGATAAATTGCTGTCCTATTTGGACGATGACGTGTCAGTAAGAGGTGCGGGGAAGAAATGGCTTAATTGTATGATTTATAAACGAATCGTTATGCCTGCCGCATATACTCGAGTATAAGTCGAAACTTTTAAATTAGATTTTTAGGCGCGGAAAAAAATAGAGTTAGATATTTACATGGCTTTGTTTTCGTGTAATGGTTGTCGCCAGTATTGGGAGGAGAGCAATAAACCAATAAATAGATGCTAATTTCAATACACCTTTTCGACCTTTCACTGAGATAGAGTAATGTGACACTGGGTGTCACTGAGACAAAACCTCAGCGGGAATCTGAACTCGACAAGTCAATCCCAAGTTTTTTTTGTGTTGATAAGCTCAAATAACATCTTAGTGTTCTTAAATTGAATCCTATAATTATTCTCGATTTGATCATATTACAGTGGTGGGAATAGAAATTGACCAGGTCATAATTTTTTTTTTTTATCACATCTGCGCCCACGGAATTTTTTTTTCTTCTAATATTTGAATTCTTCAAAGAATTACTACTTTCCCAAGACAAGATACATGACTACAAATACGTTAGAAATTTAAAGAAAATGGTAAAAGCCATGACCTCATGTAATTAAAAATATATAACTCATAAATTAATCTCAAACTGAATTAATTTAAATACTAATTTATACGTTTCGTTTATAAGACATTGAATTGTATGACTTCGTGTCCTCCATAGCTTGTCTGAAGTTTCAGTTAGCTTGATGAATATTTATGAGCGTTTGGAAACTCAAACATATCGAAAAACCAATCATCTGATTCATAAATAATTGTTACAAAATAACATCCTCGCATTTGTCTTGATGTATACTTCTTAACATTGCATTTGATGTGATAAAATCATACATAGGACGAAACGCGTTGGCTAAGTACCCGTTTTGTCAATCATATCTATCTATCTATCTATCTATCTATCTATCTATCTATCTCTCAAAGTCTATTTCTTTCTTTCTATCTATCTATCAATCTATCTATCTATATCTATATATCTATATATTTATATCTATCTATCTATCTATCTATCTATCTCTCTCTCTCTCTCTCTCTCTATATATATATATATATATATATATATATATATATATATATATATATATATAAAAATCATTGAAAAATCAATCAATAAATACATACTTCTTATAAAATAAAATCCATGCATTTGACTTCATATAATTCCTCAGAGGACGAAACGCGTTGGCTAATATATGTTTCCCATTTGCCAATCATATTGTTCTATCTATCTATCTATCTATCTATCTATCTATCTATCTATCTATCTATCACTGTCTGTTCACATCTATCTATCTCAGTTTATTCATATCTATCTATCTATCTATCTATCTATCTATCTATCTATCTATCTATCTATCTCTCAAAGTCTATTTCTTTCTTTCTATCTATCTATCTATCAATCTATCTATCTATATCTATATATCTATATCTATATATTTATATCTATCTATCTATCTATCTATCTATCTATCTATCTCTCTCTCTCTCTCTCTATATATATATATATATATATATATATATATATGTATGTATATTAAAATCATTGAAAAATCAATCAATAAATACATACTTCTTATAAAAATAAAATCCATGCATTTGCCTTCATAAAATCCCTCAGAGGACGAACGCCTTGGCTAATATATGTTTCCCATTTGCCAATCATATTGTTCTATCTATCTATCTATCTATCTATCTATCTATCTATCTATCACTGTCTGTTCACATCTATCTATCTCAGTTTATTCATATCTATCTATCTATCTGTTGTGGTAGGATCCACCTAATTTGCATAGTGGAGTACCGACCATATAAATATGGTTGGTACCGGGAAGAGAGAGAGAGGAATCAAGAGATTCAACCAGAGACTCTGCCCGACTGCGACTCAGTCAACACATTCTCCAGGAACGGTCTTACCAGGAATATACAAAAGACTATATGTAAATATAGTGTACACTTTCTTGTTTCAATACATTTTGTTCTAAGTACATTTTGTGTTGCATTATTACTCCATGCATTAGTCAAGTTTCAACACTATCTATCTATCTATCTATCTATCTATCTATCTATCTATATCTATCTATCTATCACGGTCTGTTCATGTCTATCTGTCTATTTCAGTTCTTTCATATCTATCTATCTATCTATCTATCAGAAAATATTTGAAAAATCAATATCATTTTTACTCATGTACATAAATATTTGTTGCAAAATATAATCCTTATATTTACCTTGATAGAATCCCACAGAGGACAAAAACGAGTCAGCTAAGTATTTATTTCGTTTATATGCCAGGTGTAAAAGAAAAAGTGTCCAAATCTTCTAATATCATAACAGCCCAACCCACAAAATATGTAATATCTGAAACAAACTAAAGGAATTCATTTTTTTCACAAGGTTTTCAGATAAAACATCATTTGTCGTAAGAATCACTGAAAAATCTGAGCTATTCAGCTAGAAAGAGAACAAAATAAATTCGTTTTTTGTCAGACCCGCTGTCCTCCCAAATGAGCAATGGTGAGAGTAAAAAATATTATTTAAGCCTTCAGTAATGGTACCAATATTCATATTCTGGTTTACATCTTCAAAGAGCATTGAAGATCCATCAAGAGAATGGTAAATAAGTTTTAAAAAGTGGGAAGAGTAAAGAGGTTAGCAAGATCGAATTTACTGTATTTAAACTTGCTAACCGAACCCTTCTCTGTGGCCATATCGGTTAAAGCACTTCAAGCTAAATGACGGTTCCGTATAAAATACAGGTTCGAATCATGTCGGGGGACGAATATTTTATGTGAAAATTTCTCGGACATTCAGGCCGGTAAATGTTATTTAATACTGTTCATTATAAACAGAGTATTTACTTAAATATTTGTATCTATAAAAAGAATGTTAAACATAAAAATGTTTTAAAATATATACGCATAAAAATAAATAGTTTGTTTGTGTATGTTTATAAATTTTCAATTACCCATTAAGGAATTGTATTCCTGATCACTCAAAATCCGTAATTAATTATATAGGCTTCACTTCAACATGTTCGACAAGAAGATTCGCTCTACACCTTTCTGATCATAGCTCAATTAGATCTCATTTAAATATTCATGGAGACCTACCGGACACTATTCGTAACATACTTGTTGACAAGACTAATATAATCGCATCATCTACATGCAAAAGAAGGCTAAAAATAATGGAAGCCTTATTAATAAAAACAAAAATAAACAAAAAAAACAACGACACTTAATAATATTAACTTTGAACATGGACATAATATCTTGACCGTGTTTTGAAAAATGAAAGCATTTTTTACAGAACATACATACAACAAACTATTTCTTATTTAGCAGCTAAAATATTTAATCCTTCAAAATGGCTAAATGTATAGCCGAAAGCGCTTGGATAAAAAGAACATTCGGATAGATTTTATAGAATTTATCATCCGAAAAGAAAAAAAAAATATTATATCGCATGAGAAATTGCATAAAAAAAACTAAATAAAAGCACCTTGTCTGTCGTTTTCAATGAAATGTGCATATATATATATATATATATATATATATATATATATATATATATATATATATATATATATATATATATATGATAGACGGAACTCTTGGGTGCTCTTGGTAGATGTGCTAGCACGAAGTCATAAGTCATCGTGGCCGAGGACATGAGCGTACTGACCTTGTTCAAATTATTGATCACGGTATATTAGAAGCTCTTTCCGAGAAAATGGTATTAAAGTCTGCTCAGCATTGTTGCAGTATAAACCACAGGTGGCCACCGTGGTTGTTGAATAGACATAATATATATATATATATATATATATATATATATATATATATATATATATATATATATATATATATATATATATATATATATATATATATATATGTGTGTGTGTGTGTGTATATATGTGTGTATATATATGTATATATATATGTGTGTATATATATAGGTATTTATATATACATAAATATCTATATATATATACACACATATATATACACACATATATATACACACACATATATATATATATATATATATATATATATATATATATATATACAGGCACACACACACATATAGATATATATATATATATATATATATATATATATATATATATTTTTATGCAACAAACTATTCATTATTTAACAGTTAAAATATTCAATCCTTCAAAATGGCTAAATGTATAGACGAAAGCGCTTGGATAAAAGAACATACGCACTGTTTTTATATAATTTATCATCTGAAATGAAAAAAAATATTAGATTGCATGAGAAATTTTTTAAAAACTAAATAAAAACACTTTGTCTGTCGTATTGAATGAAATGTGTTTGAAAGAAGGATTGCTACCTAAATACACAAATACATACATACATATATATATATATATATATATGTTTGTGTGTGTGTGTGTGTATATATATATGATCTGTGCATTATCCGCAGTCTCACACACACAAACACACACACAGAGTTGAAAGAATTTCTGTATTATTTGCTATCTAACCTATCAAATATAAATCTCGCCATACGTCGAAGGATTCGTGAATTCATGCATTTTAATAAGCAACCCAATCCGACTGAGACATCTCATGAATTACAGAGATTTGATTTCTTTTATTTATTCTATGATATATGTTTCCATCATTCAATCTCTGAACTCTCGTCAAAAACATCCTTTTGGCGTCACTAGGTCAGCCATTTTTTTTTTTTGCCTTCTATTTCTAATTAGAAAACATGCCTCTTTTTTTATTTTTATCAGTTATTTTCTATTCTTAACTGACATGTCCTTTCGGGACGTATTTGCTCAGAGGTCTCTACAGTTCCTCTTTCTTTATTAGCTGTAAATTATCATGGCTGTTGGCAAACAGATTGGAGTGGTTTCCCGTTGACTATTCGAAAGCTTTCAATTCAGAATTTATTGGTTTTCCCTTGCCTTGTCGAAAGCTTTAAATTCAGAATTTAACAGAGTAAAGAAGTTTCCCATTGTTTCTCGAAAACATTGAATTGCACAGAGTTTTTCCCTAAATCTCATTTATATCCAAAATTATAATTATCAATAGAATATCTTAGTGTGAGTAAACTTTTTCAGTAGGTAGTCGGGAAGGGGTCTTTATATTAGTAAGATTAAACATTATTTTAACCCCCAAAACAATAGATAAAAATATTTTTAGTAAAAAAATCAGGTGAGTCACTTTTATCGAACAGCACTATATATATATATATATATATATATATATATATATATATAGAGAGAGAGAGAGAGAGAGAGAGAGAGAGAGAAAGAGTGAGTGAGAGAAGAATATAGTAAAAAAAAAAAGAGACCATGACAGAAGACTACGAAAGAGAAAAAGAAAAGTCTTGAATAGAGAGCGCGTGGAAGAGAGAGAGAGAGAGAGAGAGAGAGTAACTGAAAGTGTTATAAAGAGACAAGAGAGTAAGAGAATTGGAGAGTATGACATGGAGAGCAAGAGGGTGAGAGAATCAGTGAGTGGCAGTATAAGTGAGAGAGTGATAGATACAAAGAAAGCATGAGAGAAAGATTAAGACAGAAAAAATACAAAGAAGAAAGAACAAGGGAGAGACAGTGAAAAAGAGGGAGAGAGATAGAGAGAGATAGAGCAACTGAGAGATATAAGGATTGAAAAAGAGAGGCATGGAGTGTAAGAGAGAAAGAGATAAAACTTGAGTAAGAGGGCAAGAAGCAGACCGTGGGGGAAACAGAGAGAGAGAGAGAGGGAGAGAGAGGGAGAGAGAGAGAGGGAGAGAGAGAGAGAGGAAGTGAAAGAGAAGAAAAGGGTGAAAGACAAAACGAGAGAAACAGATATAAGAGAGCAGACGACACGCATATATGCATATATATATATATATATATATATGTTTGTGTGTCTGGGTATATATATATATATATATATATATATATATATATATATGTATATTGAGAGAGAGAAGGAGAAAAGTGATATATATATGTGTGTGTGTATATATATATATATAGAGAGAGAGAGAGAAAGAGAAAGAAAGAGAGAGTGAGAGAGTGACAGATATAGGCATATGTATAGACAGAGAGAAAAAGTTCACGTGTTGAGTATTTCAGTTCGACAGCCCAAATTAGGTAGAAATAATTGCAGTTAAGCCAATGAGAAAATGGAATTATTTTTACGCATCCAATTTCGCGTTTAATTAAATAAAATGTAATGTAATTCAATAAAAATGGGCTCCTGTCGTGACGCAGCGGCTATAGCAAGATCATGCTCACAGACCAATGCGCTATTGTGGCGATTAAATTGTGCCCACCTATGACAAAACAAAAAAAACCCTAAAACCTTAGCTTCCTTAAATTCATAATTCAGGAATTATGACCTCTTGAAATGTGCTGTAAATTATGTTTGATTTAAAAGCAAAACTCTTCTTTGGGTGTATCATTATCGATGACGTGTTTACTAATCAAACAACGAACAAGACTTTTTTTAAAATTTTATTACTGAGAGATAATGAATGGGTCCGTTTTAGCATCCTGCTACCACTTTACTATCAATATCAATTTTTGCGCAATTCTGTGCAAAAAGAGAATCACAGAGCCTTGATATTTTTCTCACTTCTCATTGGTCAAAATCATGTTCTCGCCTACGTCCATAGAACGCCTGCGCGTTATTCAAAATAATTTTTCTGCCAAAAACCAGAAATTGTCTCTGGAGCCGATCACGTGATTATGTTTCTTATAAATACCAGACACAAGTTCGTTCTTCCTTCTTTTTGATTTCGGTCGCTTACAAAATTGTAGCTGTTTAAGAAATCGCGTCTCGACCCCTTGCGGGCGGCCGCTATGAAAACATATTCACACACGCACACATTCACGTACGTGCGGAAATTTAATTATTAACATTACAGGACATTACAAGCATCAACATATTACGAATATTCAATTACAACGGAAATGAATTAAACATTACGGAACATTCACTCCTTCAACTCTTCCGAAGGTAAAAGTTTATCAACATATTCTCAGCTTTACAGAAATTGTTCAGCTCTCTCTCACAGTGAACATTTTCAACGGCAAGTTCCTTCAACTTTTTATGAGCTCAGATAAAAATATTTCCTAGTAAAGACTTTAATTCCAACCAAAGGGAAGTAACTCCTATTAATTA